CAGCAGCTGTGGGGGCAGGAGCCCGTTGGTGGATGGGTGGGCTCACACCACTGGGGTGTCCCCAGGGTCCCAACCACCCTTGCCCAGATGGACACACCTGTGCAAGACGCCGCAGCAGCATCTCAGAGGTAGGCTGGGCCCAGTCGAGGAATATCTCAGGCACCAGCGTGATAGTCATCTCCAAGACGCGCAGCAGGCTGACTGAGAGGTCAAAGCAGGTGGCACATACCTTGAGCTGCCGGCTGTCCACAAAGTTCCGCTCCAGGCGTTCAGCAGCCTGCTGGATCTGAGCCACCAATGTGTGGGCAGCAGTCAGTGGTCTGGCCACACTGCAGATCGTGCCTCATCCTCTGCAACCCCCTGACCCACAAGGTCCCTCCGTGACCCACCTCCTGGATCATGCCGATAAACTCAGAGAAGGCCCAGTTGAGCTGGTTGAGGACGCTGTTGAGGAAGCTGGGTGCCACGTCAGGACCCTCCCGCAACAGGTCTGCCATGTGCTGCTGCAGCAGGGTGGAGGGGCAGGGCTCTGCGGGGACATCGGGAGGGGCATCATCGGGACTCCAGTCGACGGCCCCTGCCCGTCTGCCTCTGTCCTCACTCACAGGCCGTTGGTGTAAGGGCAGAAAGACAGCTCCCTGGGAACACTCAGGTCTTGAAGGCAGGGGGACAGGGTGCAGTGTTGCCTGGGGGTCAGGGCTAAATCTGTCCCCTCCCTCTGCTGGGCCAGCCACAGGCTGCAGTTGTTCCCAATGCCTCCCCCACCCCCAGTTCTAGAACCGCCCCCAAGCCCCAGCCTGATCCCCAGAAAGTTCTCAGTCACATGCACTTCAGGAAGGGCTAGACCTAGACGGGGCAACCTAGACCCCTTTTCACTCGTATCAAGGCCATTTCTCCCAAGAGCCTCCTCTGAGCTCTGCCATCCTCCACTGTCCTCTGCTGCCCTTGGCCTGGCCTTAGCATATGGCTGAGGTGGTGGGTGCCAAGTCTGGGCTGACAGGCAGCAGTAACCAGAGCCCTCAGCCACACCGGGCTAGGCATACCTCCCCCCCCTGCAAATCAATAGTTCCTACAGCAGCAGGATGCATATCTGGCCCCACTGCTGCTCTCCACTTGCAGCTCAGGTCCACCCTGGAGGCAGGACCAAGGCAACTGGCAAGGACTTGCTGTGTGACTCTGCACAAGGAACTTGGCCTCTGGGGACCCCTTTAGGCCCAAACACTCCCACAAGGGCAGAAACATACCACGTGGGCTAAAGAGAGCCACTGTGTGCAGTGAGTACAGCATGTGGCAGGCAGATTCTGCAAGCAAGACAGCCCAAGACCCTGGGCTGGGCCCAGTGAAGGTCCTCAGGCTCACAGGGCTTTACTGGACCATAGGCCCAGGACAGAAAATGCAGACTTTGCTCCTAACCAAAGGCCACTTCCTCCAGGAAGCCCCAGGGACACCCTTTGGGGCCCTGGCCAACCCCTAGTCAGTGCCCCTGCCTTGACTCAGGTATCCAGGGTCTGGCACCAGCTAGTGAAAGTAAAGGGACAGAAGGACATGGTGTTGGGACAAGGCTGGAGGTCAGGGAGCTGGTTCAGAGGGCAAGGGATAGGGTCCTCACTTTGCATAAGCTGCCAGCAGCCTGGGAAGATGCTGCCCCTTTTCACTGTGACACATGCAGACCGTTCAGGACCAAAGGGCACACATGGGACTGGAGAGCAAGACTCAAGAGCACCAGAGTGTCCTTAGACTGGGAGGAAGCAGGGAAATGGAAACCCCAGGGGATACACAGGGAGTTTGGGGCCCAACACGAGTCCAGGACTGAGGCTGGAAGAAGTGGGAAAGTCTGCGAGAACCCAAGAGCAGCGGGTCGGGGCCCCCGCCTGCCAAACCTGGATACTCACTCTGGAGGCTGGGCAAATTGGCATCCTCGGGTTTGGTTTTCAGGAGGTGTGGCAGCCGTGTATAGCGGTACCCGAACCCACAGCCCTGGGGGTGGAGTTGGCAGGTGGTCAGTGGGGCAGGGCAACCCCTCCCTCCAGCCAGCCATAGCCACCTCCTCTCCAGCCAGGCTTACCCTCCAGAGCCGCACCAGGATCCAGTTGGTCTGGGCCCAGGGCCGCTGCTCATAGGGAGCCAGCAGACTCCTCACCATGGCGATACGCCTGTGAGAGCAACGGGTGGTGGGCACGGGGTGAGGCGAGTGCTGTGCAGGGCAGAGTGCGTGCCCCCCTGCCCCTGGGCCCCCACTCACTGCTCCTCAGGAATCCGCTCCACGGCCCGCAGGGAGTTTGGGTAGCACACGTAGCTGGCCAGGGCCTGCATCAGTGAGTCACGGATATCTGCCGGGACAGGCCATGCCTCAGCAGGTGACTGGCATGAGCCCTGGTGCCCATGCCTCATACCCACCTGGCCGGTATTGTGCGCAGAAAATAGCCAGCCAGAGGTGCCATCCCGTCCGTCCCCATCTCCCCCAGCCCTCTGTCGGGCACCTCACCAGTGCCCACGATGCGTGTGTCGGCAAAGTGTTTGGCAAGGATGGCAGCCAGACGGGTCAGGGTCTCTTCATAGCCTGCAGGGTTGGGTAGTAGGATGAGCCGATCGGGAGTGCGGACTCCAGAGGCAGGCACACCCCTTGGTGGGTGGGCTTGGGTAGTGGGCTCCAGAGCTAACTCCAAGGGCTAGTCTGGGCCCAAGATGACATCTAGGGACTTTAGGCAGGGCATTCACTAACAGTTGGTGAGAGGCGAAGGCACAGACTCATTGTGGGCGTTGGGTGGGTCCCAGCAGGAGGATAGGTCCTGACAAAGAGTCCTGCCTGGACTCAAACCCATCTCAGCACACACACTGGAGGGCTCAGTAAAGGCCCCTGGGCACCCACAGCCCCACCTCTGAGGACAAAGCCTGCAGTGAGGCCTAGGGCAGGGCAAGGGGACAGGCCAGGAGCCTAAAAGCCCACAGCCTAGTCCAGACATAAACTGCCAAGCCCAGCCTGGAATCAGTGGTCTGCAAGAAGCCCAGACTCCTATGTGGCCACCAGCAGGGCCCCCCTACTCCTTGCTGTGATCTGCAAAGACAAGCCACTCTGCCCCTGCATGGAATGCCACACCCCATGGCCAGCACCAGGGCAGCAGGGTAAGAGGCCAGCTGGCTCCTGGGCCACAGAAGCACCAAGAAGGAAGTAAAAGCCAGGGCGGGGTGGG